ATAGGAGCACTGTTTATACAAAATTCTGCTTATAACAAGGAAAAATTTAGGTCCCACTTCCTTTGTCTTCATTGTTTTCATTCCTGATGATACAAGGTTCCTGTTATAACAAGGTAATCTGCAAAGTCACAAGGGCCTCTTATTAACGAGGTTCAAATGTACATGCCCGCATCGTCTTCAGTTCCAAACTCATGTTCATGTGTTACAAAACAAGGCGGCCGGAAGCGCCGGTGGAAACCGCGCTTGTCCAACGTGACAATACATGTATTAAATGGGTCGTAAAACATTTAACTGTACACGCATAGAAGAGTCTGGGCCAAGACTACTTTGCTCATAGTGACCTTGCAAAATGATCAAAAAACTGTTTCTAAAAGCTTGGTTGGTCCACTTTCCAACAAAACAACTGATTTACAAGAAGAAAATGTACATATTGAAAATACTTTCCTGAATTTACCTGTCGTACTCAATTGACAATTGTGCAGAGATGCGTGACTGAAATGAAATGAAACTCATAAAGGGGTTGAGTCCAATGTGGGAATACATTTATTTGCACTACGAAACATTTTCAAAATTAACGTCATGGTTCTGTAGGTTTCTTAAAAACAGTTAGACAGATGGAGAAATACTGTAGATTAAAAATGTATATTGCATTGTTTTTGTTTTTTTTTGTCTTAAAGTCTTCCCAAATGTTTCATCAGATCTTGGCATATTTAAAATATTTGGTTGCACGTTCTTTTGTCCTCACATTTAGACCTTGGCTTGTGGAATAAAAGTTTTGTGCATGGTGAGTATATCATACATGTATGTGCTGGTAAAGACAAATCTGCTAATTTTTGCTGCATGTGAGCAAAGTAGCTTGCTTTTCTCCCCTCGCACCTTCGTACTTTGTTTCCTGGTGATGGTGAACTCAAAGTTATGGTAAACTGTCCTCATATTCACAACTTGTAAGTAGGGCAGTGCATCCGAATGGTGTACATTTTCCTCATAATGCACTTGCATTGGCCTTGTACATTGTCCTAAAATTGCCCCTCATAATGCACTCGCATTTGCCTTGTACATTGTCCTCACATTGCCCCTCATATTGCACTCGCATTTGCCTTGTACATTGTCCTCACATTGCCTCTCATTTTGCACTCGCATTGGCCTTGTCTTGTACACTGTCCTCACATTGCCCCTCATATTGCACTCCCATTGGTCTTGTACATTGCCCTCACATTGCCCCTTATTTTGCACTCGCATTGGCCTTGTCTTGTACACTGTCCTCACATTGCCCCTCATATTGCACTCACATTGGCCTTGTACATTGCCCCTTATTTTGCACTCGCTTTGGCCTTGTCCGCTACACTGTCCTCACATTGCCCCTCATATTGCACTCACATTGGCCTTGTACATTGTCCTCACATTGCCCCTCATTTTGCACTCGCATTGGCCTTGTCCGCTTCACTGTCCTCACATTGCCTCTCATATTGCACTCACATTGGCCTTGTACATTGCCCTCACATTGCCCCGCATTTTGCACTCGCTTTGGCCTTGTCCGCTACACTGTCCTCACATTGCCCCTCATATTGCACTCACATTGGCCTTGTACATTGTCCTCACATTGCCCCTCATTTTGCACTTGCATTGGCCTTGTCCGCTTCACTGTCCTCACATTGCCTCTCATATTGCACTCACATTGGCCTTGTACATTCTCACATTGCCCCTCATTTTGCACTCGCATTGGCCTTGTACACTGTCCTCACATTACTCCTCATATTGCACTCACATTGGCCTTTGTACACTGTCCTCACATTACCCTTCATTATTGCACTCGCATTGGCCTTGTACACTGTCCTCACATTACTCCTCATTTTGCACTCACATTGACCTTGTACATTGCCCTCACATTACCCTTCATTATTGCACTCGCATTGGCCTTGTACACTGTCCTCACATTACTCCTCATTTTGCACTCACATTGACCTTGTACATTGCCCTCACATTACCCTTCATTATTGCACTCGCATTGGCCTTGTACACTGTCCTCACATTACTCCTCATATTGCACTCGCATTGGCCTTTGTACACTGTCCTCACATTACCCTTCATTATTGCACTCGCATTGGCCTTGTACACTGTCCTCACATTACCCCTCATTATTGCACTCGCATTGGCCTTGTACACTGTCCTCACATTACCCCTCATTATTGCACTCGCATTGGCCTTGTACACTGTCCTCACATTACCCCTCATTATTGCACTCGCATTGGCCTTTGTACACTGTCCTCACATTACCCTTCATTATTGCACTCGCATTGGCCTTGTACACTGTCCTTACATTACCCCTCCTTGCCTTGTCATTTTTTCATTCTGCGTGTCACACTCATGCATTTGTAGAGTACAAGTTTGTTGTGTGTAAGGATTTATCAGATTCGTCCACACATTTAACTGTGTACACCTGCCCGTGCACGCAGGTTTGTTTATGGTGTTAATCGAAGACATTCTATTGTTTTTCACCAACTTTCCTTTGTTTATATTCTAACTTTTTGTGCAACAGCTCTCATTTGTTTTGTACACGTTTTCTAATTGAGGTGGTCCTCGATTTGACTCCTGTCCTCAATTATCCAACAATGGTGTGTCCTCGATTTACACCGTAAACATGTACACCAGCACCATGTAGGCAGTTTGGTTCCCACATCCATCCTTGGCACAATATGCATTTTTTAAAATGCATACCGGTAAATGTTGGGTGCACATTTCTGTTCTATTTTTATACTTTGCCGTAATTTCATTCTAGGGGGTTTGCACCAGCAGCGATGTAAGGTTGCAAGCTTTCTGAAATGTAAATCATGCCTGCTACATTTACCTGGTAGCAACTTGGGATTGTCATCACATTAATGGTTTACTCACATTGTCCTTACATTTTCCTCATATTTTCCATTAATGGTACATACTCACAGTACATGAACAAGTTTGTTGCATTCTGTTCTTGCATTACGAGCAGTGCACATATTGTACTTTACATGCACCAGTATCTCCTGATCTTGCTCTATTCTGGACTAAACCTGTGCAATTATCCTCCATGATGAATGCATTTTTTGTAAAACTCGCAGGTCTGTTGTCTTCTCAAGTGTTTCATTTTGGTCAGTGTAAAGTAGTCTTGAGGTCTGTTACATGTAGTTTTTTTATTGTTATTTACAAAAGATTCTTTAATTTAGGGAGATGTTGTCATTATTCAACCCTTGGTTGTTTTTGTAAGTAAGAAACAAACTAATACAGTTTGCAGCAAAAGAATGGATGAAGTTGCCCAATGTGTTACACATGAAAGTGAGATTTATTCCACCTTCTACAAAATGCAGGGTAGAATAAATTTCATAAGATTGGCTGCTACATTTTAATAGCGCATTTCCATATAAAGTCCTGTTACAATTCGTCAGTCGTACCACGAACCGTCGTATCCTGGTATTTTGGGCAAAGTGACATTTTTGATTTTTATCATTAATAATGTTAAACTGAATTATTTTACGGTGATTTTAGACCAAATTGAGCTGTAATTTTGAAATATAGGTAATCAGAAAAAAATATTAATCTGCAAATATAAATGAAACTGTTTTCACGAACCGACTTATACATTTACGCCGCTTTGTCAGTCCACAGAAATTACGAAAAACCGTTCCACGAACTGTCGTATCTTTTTACGACACTATGTGGAAACGTAGTGTGTCATTTTTATTATGCGCCCTCTGTTGGTTACGTCAATTAGCTTTTTCGTACCCAGGACTCTTGAACTTGCGTGCTTGTTTTTTAAACAAAGGCAGACTCTGCTGGGAACGAGGAAAAGCATTGCTTCGCACACGTACACGTTGTACGTACGTACATAGCATACGTACGTACGTACGGCTGTGCAGCTTGCAGTTTGCTGGGGCTGACTCAGTAGGCAACTTCAGGCCATTAAAATGGCTGAAAATGGCACCTTGCCCTCCACGGATACCATGACAAATAAAGGAAGTGAGTATTTTTCTTTTATAGATCTCTATGTAGCAAATATATGTAAAACACTCCCAAAAACATGATGTAAGCTTGAGCTAGCCAACGTTAGGGCCTAGGCCCTAGCTAAAGATTGGAATGGTTTAGGCAAGTCATTGATTCGACGTTTCATATGTAGGCCTACTTGGCTTTGTGTAAAGGCCTATATAATAATTATTAATAGTGCAATTTCGCTCAATCCTTTTAGGACTCTTGGACTCGGCCTCCCTTTAAATAATAAAATATAATCCCCTCAAGCTCGATCGCTTTAGTAGCCTACTTGAGTACTACTTAGTCTTGGCTTACAACAATACATGTTTTTAGTCTTGCATGCATGATGTAGGCCTCCCCAAACAGGCACACTGTCACTGTTTCAGTTTAATAAGGAAAATTTCAAGTTTATACGTGCATCCATGCCCCCTTACTTGTCTATAATTGGGGTGTTTTTCTTGTTCCCTGTCCTAAACCTCACCTGGGAGTATAGTCCTGCCTTAATAATAATAAACAACACAACAATATTCTCTGGCTAGACCAATGCCTGGCTTTGGTCAGTGAGTTGAAGTAGGGCCTATCGGTGGGCCAGTAGGGTGGGATAGCCCATGCAAATTGGTAAAATAGACATTCCAAATGATTACCCTATTCCCACATTTTACATCCTCTGGCAAATATGTAATATAAACAAAGCATTACCTCGCTACATGTACTATCAAAAGTTACATTACCTGAGAGTCATCATTAAAAATGGATTCAAAATAGCATTCTTTGAATATAATTTTCAACTTCAAATTCCAAATATTGACATCCTGTTTAACAACGACCTTTCTTCAAAGTAAGACCACATTGCCAGTTTACAGTATAGATGTATAAAGCAGTTTGTACTTCAATTTAAAGATAACTTTGTTTCTCAATGTTTTCCATTTAGTCACAGGCACCTCTCCAAAAGATGTCTTGGTCCAGTGGAGTGACCACACAAAGAATGTAGTTATATCCAGCGAGTTACATTTTCGTGGACTATTACATCAACATCAGCGGGTGAAGATGAGGTGGGGAAGAACTTGGTGGAGGGGCAAGGTGCTTGCCTATGAATCAGCAAGTCAAGGTATTTGAAAGAAGCACTCGTACAGCTAAAATTGGAATCGAACATGGCAAAATTAAGTTTTCTTTAAAATGCCCATGTTCGTACCCCATTATTAATCAAATGAAGTTCTTCTCAGTTGGTATAATCACACACATCCTCAGTGAATTTCTGTTTTCATTTTGTTCTTGAATTGTAGAGGCATCTGATGAGTCTGAGACCTTCCGTGATGTGGATGTTACATCTGAGCAAGGTACGTACATTTTTATACTGCATGTGTGTAAGTGATAAGGATGGCAAAGAAGTATGACAACTCGATGTGTATTAAACATTGTTGTAATAGGATGATTTACTGTTTTGCAGATTCCTCTGACAGTCAGGTTATCGGAGAGCTTAGTGACAGTGACTTGGACGAGATGGATGACATTCCACTTACATAGCTGCAGACACACCTGGCATCAACTCAAAGTGAGTATCACATGGAGATAGCCCCATAATGTGGCCAGTTTACTGGACTGCCTCCGTAAACATAGGCCACACATCCACATGTACAAAAATCGTGTCGACGGAGCCAAATTTTGATTTTCCCATTTAGGCTTAGTTTGTAAGTTTTTTTGCTTTAGAAGCATACTCACCCTCTTTATAGGCTAATCAGAAAGTGCTGCCTTTTTCAGATGTATATTTTTTGTGAAATTTCCAGATTCATTTTTACACGTTTGCGTATCAAAATTTCAACATGAAATTTCACAAAATTAAGACATCTGAAAAAGGCAGCACTTTCTGATTAGCCTGTAAAGAGGGTGAGTATGCTTCTAAAGCAAAAAAATCCTACAAACTAAGCCTAAATGTGAAAATCAAAATTTGGCTCCGTCGACACGATTTTTGTACATGTGGATGTGTGGCCTATGTTTACGGAGGCAGTCCAGTAAATAGGCCACATTTATGGGGCTAACATGGAGATAGCATCCCATACATCTTCAACATTATAGCACGTCTTTCTTTTACCCAAAATATCCATCAAAGGAACTTGAGCTGAATTAGGATTCTAAGCGTATCTTTGAGTAGTCCTCTGGTGAGTGCAGATGTCAAGCCTGACAATCTATATGTAGTTTCTCCTTCTTGATACCAAATGACACCTGAAGTTGCTTTTCTTAATGATTCATAAGTAGGGACAAATGCTATTATTTGTTATGTTTATGTTGATTTCCTGTTCTGTTTCTTTCCTGCAGAGCCACTCCATGAAACTGATGGCAATGGGAAAGTGAATGTTACTGACTCAGAGGAGATGGATGACATGTCATTGATGCAGTTGCAGACACACTTGGCACGTACCAATAGTAAGTTTCACCTGAATATGTTAATATTTGAATGAGTGATTCATTTGTTTCGTATCAGTTTATCTTCACATCGTGGCTAGTTGACATCCAACATTATTTTCTTATCCTTCTAGAAATTTTAACAGTCCTGAGATAGACATGCATGAAAGTACACCATTGAAAAAAAAGCAGCTTGTGGCACTATCTTATAAAAACTGTAGTAAAACAAAGTACTAATAACACAGCATTGTTGGTGGTGCTAATGTGATTGTTTCTGTGCCTTGCAGAAAGCATGACATCATCGGAAGCTGCAGTCTGTCCACCGTCTCAGACTGGTAGGTACCAAATGGAGTATTCACTCACTTTTTATATTTGAATAGTTCAAGTAAAATATCTTAAAAGTTGTTTCACAGTGGTTAAGAATCTTATAAAAGATAAATGATTTCAAAATTTTAGCTTTGAGTTTTTGTAGGAAGAATAGTAAAAACAAAATCACCTAGTCATTTAACTCAGCTTTCAACAATTCTTGGCTTCCTTTTTTTTGCCACACACACTACATATTTCCTTTACATCTATCTCATTCAAATGTGAATGAATTCCTTGATGTGATTTTAATTTCTATGCAGCCCAAGACCTCAACGCGAACAAGACAACAACACCCACTGAACTGGCTGCCACTGCCATCCCAAATGCAACAATACCTACAAAGGAGGCTGGTGAACACCAGGAAAGCCAGATGATGAACATATCTGAACAGTGTTCAGAGTTTCATTGCCTTCAGGACATTTTTGCCGCATGTGCTCAATGTCAGTGCTTATTGTGCTTTGAACATTTTATTAGAAGTGATGCATGTTCAAATCACAATAAGTATTTTTCTGTATACGTAGATAACATGTCATCCTCTGTAATTGACAACTCTCCCTGTTTTGTTGAGGTTGGCGCTACTGATAACACACTGATTCAGGATGAAATGCTGACCACAGTTGATGTGGGAATGAACATTGACTGTGTAAGTGATCCATCTCAACAAAAACAACCCGAAGATTATGTGGTAGATGGAGAAGAGAGAGTTGAAACAGGGTTCTCTGCTAATGTTCAGCCATCTGGCACTAAAGCAAGGAACAAAAATGTCACATTTAAGCGAAACCAGGGAGAGTCATATTATACTGAGAAAACCAATAGGTATGTCCTGCCAAGAAAAGAACAAAACAAGCAAAGGTGTTCATCTGCATTCTGTGATGTAAGAAAGTTGTCATGCAAGGCATTAACGGAGTCAGACCGCAAGTCAATACAGCATGCATTTTATGATTTAGGCAACTTAAGCTTACAACGCCAGTGGATTTCTCGCCATCTTGAAATACAGAATCAGAGCCAAAACCCCAGAAAGAAAATTAAATTGAAATATTTTCTTCCACTCAATGAAGAACTTCAAATATGCTCCAAGGTACAAGTGTGTAAGGTTATGTTCCTGAACACGCTTGGGTTGTCAGAAAGACAGGTCAGTACCGTGGTTAAAAAAACAAGGCCTTTGGGTGTGATAGAACCAGAGAAGCGAGGTGGTAGGGTGAGAAAAGATCTAGACCAACAATTAGCCGATGAAGTGCACAAACACATCAACAGATTTCCTAAAATGGAATCACACTTTTGCAGAGCGAACACTGGCTATCAGTATTTGTCACCAGACTTAAACATAAACAGGATGCACAGATTGTACCTCGAAGAGCACAAAAAGAATGGCAGAAAAGCTTCTTTGAGTTTTTACTCGAAGATTTTCAAAAGCATGAAACTCAAGTTTCATTCTCCCAAGAAGGACTTGTGTGGGTTGTGTGATGCCTACAGAAAAGGAAATGAAGAAGAAAAAATGCGGATGTGTATCGATTACGAAAAGCATATTCAAGAAAAATGCAAAGTTCGAGAACTTAAGGAAGAGATGAAGGAAAAGGCGCACTTGAATCCTGAGACTTTTGTGGCATCAGTATTTGACTTGGAGCAAGTCTTGTACCTGCCCAGGTCTAACAGAGGTGAACTTTTCTACCAACGAAGGTTGTCCTGCTATAATTTCACTGTGTATGAGCTTGCGAGCAAAACTGGATACTGCTATTTGCATCACGAGGGCTTAGCGAAGCGTGGATCGAATGAAATTGCTTCAAACTTGTACTCTTACTTAACAGTTTTAGACAGGGAAAAGAAAAATGAAGCAGCCTTTTTCTGTGATGGGTGTCGTGGCCAAAACAAAAACTCAGTCTTGCCAGCTATGCTCATGCACTTTGTCAAACACTCAAAATCGATGAAAAGTGTGACAATATCATACTTTGAAACAAATCACGGTCAAAGTGAGGGCGATGCCATGCATAGTACGGTAGAGAGAGCTATGAAAAACTTTGGTGACATCTTTCTGCCTGCACAACTCGCTGCCCTGATCAAACTGGCTCGCCGAAATCCTTCTCAATACATAGTTAATGAAATTCAAACAACAGACATCCATGACTGGAAACAACTCTCAAGAGACATGCATATTCTGAAAGTTCGCAAAACTGTGGAAGGAGAGCCAGTTGATTGGACTAAAGTTATGGCTGTGAAGGTAGAAAAGAACTCCCCAAGTAAGATCCAGGTGAAATTTTCTCACACTGACGTGAACTTTTCTACCATTGCTATCGGTGAAGGGCAAAGAAAAGTTGGTCATCAGCTTGAAATCAGTCCTAAAAAGGCATACCCAAAGGGACCGCCCAAGCTGTCCCAAGACAAGTATGCTGATCTGATGAAGATGTGCACTGGCACTACGCCATTGATTTATCATGCAGATCATGTTTCATTTTACAAACACTTGCCGCACCAATAAGACCACACGCTCCATATCAGTGTCAGAATCTGCAAGCTTTGGTTGAAATCATTGTGTTAACTTCAGTTTGTCACTTCATCAAGCATCGGAATTTGCATCAGTGTAACATGTGCCATTGATAATTCATTAATAATTATTGTAGCAAAAATGTTTGAATGAATTTATGAATGAATTTGAGCTACAGAGTTTCAGTGTGTAAAGACAATTTTGTGCTTGAATAAAAATACACAATTGATGAGAACCTGTAACATTGGAACTGGCAAGCTGTTATTTTTATGTTATCATTGGTCTTGCTTTGAACATAACTTGACTTTCAACTCCAGAATAGTGCATATTGGGGAAATAATGCTCTAAAACAACCAGGGAAGATTGAAATTGAGCCATTCTGGCACCCCTTGTAAACGCAGTGCATGAATTCAATATATGTACACGTATAACATCAAACCACGCATGCGCAGTAGGGATAAGTCACACGCGCTGGGACAAAATCGCCACATTTTCGTTCCACGAACTGTCGTAACTTTATACGTCACAATCGCGGTGTTCGAAAACAGGCAAATGATAATTTCACAAAAACGACGTTTGATTTCCGAACAAAATAACATTCAACAACCGGATTGTTGACACAAACGATAAGTATTTAATTAATCCACGATTATTCTGCTGCGAGGCTGCATAAAATGGATTAAATTGTAAATCTGCTTGTTTGAAATATGAGTCATTGAAAACATGCCCAACTTTAAACCGTTTTTTCTCAAATCAAGGTAAGTCTGAGTTACGACGGTTCGTGGTACGACTGACGAATTTATCAGTTTGACCTTTGACTGTTTGGTTGGTTTCTTTCTAGATAATCAATTTTGGTGTTTTACTTGCAGTATTGATGCCACTGAAGAGCCTACTGATGGATTGAAGTTTGGAAGATTGGTCAACCACGGGCGCAAAAATGAAAGAAACAGCCACATGAAAGTTGTGGAAAATGGTCTGCTGTGCCTATTTGCAACTAAAAATATCCATGCAGGAGAAGAAGTTCTTTATGATTATGGGCTGCCTGATTCATTTCAATTCTCAGTTCCTCCGGCGTATTCTAATCATTTGGGTGCAAATGAGCTCCCGGTTTCCATTGATGATGCTGTCACTGCAGGGGGTCCACCACTCACTCTTACAGTTGCACCTGATTCTAATCAGGCACATGAGCTCCCGGTTTCCATTGATGATGCTGTCACTGCAGGGGGTCCACCACTCACTCTTACAGTTGCACCTGATTCTAATCAGGCACATCAGCTCCCGGTTTCCATTGATGATGCTGTCACTGCAGGAGGTCCACCACTCACTCTTACAGTTGCACCTGATTGTAATCAGGCACATGAGCTCCCGGTTTCCATTGATGATGCTGTCACTGCAGGAGGTCCACCACTCACTCTTACACTTGCACCTGATTCTAATCAGGCACATGAGCTCCAGGTTTCCATTGATGATGCTGTCACTGCAGGAGGTCCACCACTCACTCTTACAGTTGCACCTGATTCTAATCAGGCACATGAGCTCCCGGTTTCCATTGATGATGCTGTCACTGCAGGGGGTCCACCACTCACTCTTACAGTTGCACCTGATTCTAATCAGGCACATGAGCTCCAGGTATCCATTGATGATGCTGTCACTGCAGGGGGTCCACCACTCACTCTTACAGTTGCACCTGATTCTAATCAGGCACATGAGCTCCCAGTTTCCATTGATGATGCTGTCGCTGCAGGGGGTCCACCACTCACTCTTACAGTTGCACCTGATTCTAATCAGGCACATGAGCTCCCGGTTTCCATTGATGATGCTGTCGCTGCAGGGGGTCCACCACTTACTCTTACAGTTGCACCTGATTCTAATCAGGCACATGAGCTCCCGGTTTCCATTGATGATGCTGTCACCTCAGGAGGTCCACCACTCACTCTTAGAGTAGCACCTAATTCTAATCAGGCACATGAGCTCCCGGTTTCCATTGATGATGCTGTCACTGCAGGAGGTCCACTACTAACTCTTACAGTTACACCTGATTCTAATCAGGCACATGAGCTCCCGGTTTCCATTGATGATGCTGTCACTGCAGGAGGTCCACCACTCACTCTTACAATTGCACCTGATTCTAATCAGGCACATGAGCTCCAGGTTTCCATTGATGATGCTGTCACTGCAGGAGGTCCACCACTCACTCTTACAGTTGCACCTGATTCTAATCAGGCACATGAGCTCCCGGTTTCCATTGATGATGCTGTCGCTGCAGGGGGTCCACCACTCACTCTTACAGTTGCACCTAATTCTAATCAGGCACATGAGCTCCCGGTTTCCATTGATGATGCTGTCGCTGCAGGAGGTCCACTACTAACTCTTACAGTTGCACCTAATTCTAATCAGGCACATGAGCTCCCGGTTTCCATTGATGATGCTGTCACTGCAGGAGGTCCACTACTAACTCTTACAGTTGCACCTGATTCTAATCAGGCACATGAGCTCCCGGTTTCCATTGATGATGCTGTCACTGCAGGAGGTCCACCACTCACTCTTACACTTGCACCTGATTCTAATCAGGCACATGAGCTCCCGGTTTCCATTGATGATGCTGTCACTGCAGGAGGTCCACCACTCACTCTTACAGTTGCACCTGATTCTAATCAGGCACATGAGCTCCCGGTTTCCATTGATGATGCTGTCACTGCAGGAGGTCCACCACTCACTCTTACAGTTGCACCTGATTCTAATCAGGCACATGAGCTCCAGGTTTCCATTGATGATGCTGTCACTGCAGGAGGTCCACTACTCACTCTTACAATTGCACCTGATTCTAATCAGGCACATGAGCTCCCGGTTTCCATTGATGATGCTGTCACTGCAGGAGGTCCACCACTCACTCTTACAATTGCACCTGATTCTAATCAGGCACATGAGCTCCCGGTTTCCATTGATGATGCTGTCACTGCAGGGGGTCCACCACTCACTCTTACAGTTGCACCTGATTCTAATCAGGCACATGAGCTCCCGGTTTCCATTGATGATGCTGTCACTGCAGGAGGTCCACCACTCACTCTTACAGTTGCACCTGATTCTAATCAGGCACATGAGCTCCAGGTTTCCATTGATGATGCTGTCACTGCAGGAGGTCCACTACTCACTCTTACAATTGCACCTGATTCTAATCAGGCACATGAGCTCCCGGTTTCCATTGATGATGCTGTCACTGCAGGAGGTCCACCACTCACTCTTACAATTGCACCTGATTCTAATCAGGCACATGAGCTCCCGGTTTCCATTGATGATGCTGTCACTGCAGGGGGTCCACCACTCACTCTTACAGTTGCACCTGATTCTAATCAGGCACACGAGCTCCAGGTTTCCATTGATGATGCTGTCACTGCAGGAGGTCCACCACTCACTCTTACAGTTGCACCTGATTCTAATCAGGCGCATGAGCTCCCGGTTTCCATTGATGATGCTGTCACTGCAGGAGGTCCACCACTCACTCTTACAGTTGCACCTGATTCTAATCAGGCACATGAGCTCCTGGTTTCCATTGATGATGCTGTCACTGCAGGGGGTCCACCACTCACTCTTACAGTTGCACCTGATTCTAATCAGGCACATGAGCTCCCGGTTTCCATTGATGATGCTGCCACTGCAGGAGGTCCACCACTCACTCTTACAGTTGCACCTGATTGTAATCAGGCACATGAGCTCCCGGTTTCCATTGATGATGCTGTCACTGCAGGAGGTCCACCACTCACTCTTACAGTTGCACCTGATTCTAATCAGGCACATGAGCTCCCGGTTTCCATTGATGATGCTGTCACTGCAGGAGGTCCACCACTCACTCTTACAGTTGCACCTGATTCTAATCAGGCACATGAGCTCCCGGTTTCCATTGATGATGCTGTCACTGCAGGGGGTCCACCACTCACTCTTACAGTTGCACCTGATTCTAATCAGGCACATGAGCTCCCGGTTTCCATTGATGATGCTGTCACCTCAGGAGGTCCACCACTCACTCCTACAGATGAGCAAAACGCGTTAGACGTATCAGGTGATTCTGGCCAGCCTTGTCTGCATGAAGGAGCGAAGGCTAGTGAGTCTGTGCTGTTCATCCCTGTCATTTTGGACATGTTGGAGGGTCCACTCATTCCTACAGATGTGCAAAATGCAGAAGACGTATCAGGTGATTCTGATCAGCGTTGTCTGCATGAAGGAGGGGAGGCTAGTGAAAATGTGCTTTCTTTTCCTGTCACTTTGCACATGTCGGAGGGTCCACTCATCCTACAGATGTGCAAAACGCAGAAGACATATCAGGTGATTCAGACCAGCATAGTCTGCATAAAGGAGCGGAAACTAGTGAGTCATCAGACTCTGATTTCATTCCCGACTCTTCATTTTCAAGTGGCTCTGAAGATGCAATTTCACTGGAAAGGGTTGCACGACCTACTGGTAAAAGATTGCCATTTGGAAAACATGGGTGCGTGCAAGTTGCTGCATTCAAACAAGATGGGAAGCGTAGCTGGAACAAGGCAGATTACTGCCTATACTGTGGGAACAAGCAAGCAAAAGTCGCACGTCATTGTTTAGTGAAGCACAAAGACAAAAATCTTGTCCGTGAAATTAAAGCACTCCCATTGAAGTCTGTTGAAAGAAAGCAGAAAATCACTGTTCTTCGCAACAAAGGTAACTTGCAACATAATTTTCTCGTCTGGGAATCAGGCTCTGGGGAAATTGTTCCCCGAAAACGTCCAGCAGCAGAGGTCGCTGCTTCAGAGTACTTACCTTGTGAGTTTTGTCAGGGTAGCTACAAGCGAGATGGTCTATGGAAGCATCAAGTAGAGTGTGCCAAAAGAAATAAAATGGTTAGAAAGCACCGATCACAGTCAAATGCAAAAATGATGATCCCCGACAGTTCAAGTGGTACAGCAAGTGAAAGTCTGAAGACAAATGTTATCAGTCGAATGGTGGCAGACGACATCACCCAATGTGTCAGGAGTGATGCTGATATCTTGTTATTTGGGACCAAAATGATAAAGAGTCATCCAGAACCACATCAAGCACTACCCATATCACAAAATATGCGTGACTTGGCAAAAGTCGTTGTTGCTGCAGGCAGTATTGATGAAACAGTAACTTCTATCCGGGACCTCGTGAATCCACAAAAGTTTGATCTTCTTGTCATGGCAGTCAAACAGGTAGCAGGATATTGCCCTGTAAGCAACAGCTACAAGACATCATCTTATGCTAGAAATGTGGGCTACCACCTTGATAAGGTTGTTGCTTCTCTGAAATCTATGGCAATCAAATCCGAAGATCAGGAGCTGCAGGACAGAGTGGAAAAATTCCAAGAATTGAAGCGGGCAGAATGGACGTCGGAAGTTGTGACACTTGCACGTCACAATTTGGACAGTCGCAAAAACAACAAACCACAACGTCTCCCTATAGCCTCAGACATCAAGAAACTGACGGGCTGTCTAAAGAACACCATGCACAAACACAAAGTAGCACTTCAGCAAAATCCAACTTCCAACAAAGACTGGACAGAACTTTGTCAGTCCACCTTGGCCCTTGTTGTGCTGTTCAACAGAAGACGTACTGGTGAGACGGAGAGACTTCTACTGCGTTCTTATAAAATGGCAGAGAATAATGCAGACATTCAGCCAGATGTGTTCCAGAGTCTTGGTGAGGTTGAAAAGGTTCTTGTCCGAAAGTTCACCAGAATTGAAGTGCGTGGAAAACGTGGTAGAAAGGTCCCTGTGCTTCTAACTAAGGAAATGGTGGAGAATGTAGATATGCTGAATGCCACTAGAGAGGCAGCTGGGGTTTCACCCAACAACAAATATGTTTTTGGTCGTGCTTTTTGCAACTCCCCATTTCAGGCTAAAGCTTCAGATTGTCTGAGGAAGTATTCCAGTCTGTGCGGAGCCAAGCACCCAAAAACTTTGAGATCAACTAAACTCAGCAAGCATATTGCTACCATGTCTCAATTACTTTCTCTGAAAGAGAATGTACTAGATATGCTTGCCAGCTACATGGGTCATGACGTGAGAATTCGTCGAGAATTCTACAGACTTCCAGAAAGCACCCTGCAGCTCGCGAAGGTCTCAAAGGTGCTGCTAATGATGGAGAAGGGTGAAACAAGCAAATACAAAGGAAAATCCCTGGATGAAATTGACGTCTCCCTGGAAGATGGTAAGTACATCTCCTTTAATTGGTGAATATGTTTGAAGATGTAATTATGTGGAGATGGTGAAAGTGGTGACAAATTAGCAATGCACAAATTGCAGCTGGAAATTTGCAATTTTCATAATTCTCCAGTCGGGTACAGACATGGAATAAGTGTGTGATACCACAAATTTCAAGGTTAAAAAGTACATGCACCTGTAGTTCATTTGCCAATGTCTGTCAGTACTTTCTGTGTCGGTAGTTTTCCAGATTGAACCAGGAAGTATGGTACATTTGTGTATTACAGCAATTTCGTTCTTTGTTAATTTTTGACCAAATATTTGTTTATTTCTTGCAGTTGATGAAGACTCTGAGTCAGATCACGTAGTTGATGGGGAAAGTTTGGAAGGTATGTGATTCTTTTCGGTACATTTTCATGTATCTAAACAAAACTGTCACATTCCGAGTGAATGTTGGGGAAAAATCACTTGGTGGGGACTCAAACCCACTGCCTCCTGTTTTCTAGTGCCAATATAGCACTATCAGTAACCATTCTCATGGTCCTTTTTTTTTCCAGAAACCCCAGAGTCCTCGACCGGCACCGGCACTGGCACTGGCACTAGAGAGTTTGGTGAACCCTTCAAGCCCAATGACGCAAATGCAGTGGCCCAAGACAGAGGTAAAGGATAAACGTTTGTTTGGATGCATACAATTTGAACAATTAAGGGGGGGGGGGGGGGGAAATAAGCTCCTTCCCAAAGTAAGCTTTTCCAGTTAGGACATTTTGTCATGCTTATGTAGTTATGTCATGGTTACCATTTTCTTAATTCTTTTTGTTTGTTTGTTTGTTTTCAGAAACCCCTGAGTCCTCCACCAGCACCGGCTTTGTGAGAGAGTTTGGTGAACCCTTCAAGCCCAATAACGCAAATGCAGTGGCCCAAGACAGAGGTAAAGGATAAACGTTTGTTTGGATGCATACAATTTGAACAATTAAGGGAGTGGAAATAAGCTCCTTCCCAAAGTAAGCTTTTCCAGTTCGGACATTTTGTCATGCTTATGTAGTTATGTCATGGTTACCATTTTCTTCATTCTTTTTGTTTGTTTGTTTGTTTTCAGAAACCCCTGAGTCCTCCACCAGCACCGGCTTTGTGAGAGAGTTTGGTGAACCCTTCGAGCCCAATAATGCAAATGCAGTGGCCCAAGACAGAGGTAAAGGATAAACGTTTGTTTGGATGCATACAATTTGAACAATTAAGGGAGTGGAAATAAGCTCCTTTCCAAAGTAAGCTTTTCCAGTTCGGACATTTTGTCATGCTTATGTAGTTATGTCATGGTTACCATTTTCTTCATTGTTTTTGTTTGTTTGTTTGTTTTCAGAAATCCCTGAGTCCTCCACCAGCACCGGCTTTGTGAGAGAGTTTGGTGAACCCTTCAAGCCCAATAATGCAAATGCAGTGGCCCAAGACAGAGGTAAAGGATAAACGTTTGTTAGGATGCACACAATTTGAACAATTCTGGAAGGAAAAAAATCAAAGATTTTACTCTTGCACAGGTTGATATTTGCTGTCAAAATTTGTTTCACTTAAAATATTTCTGTTAAAGCAAGGAACTGTGGCATCAAATATATGTATAAAATGTATCTGAAGTCTAACCTCACATAACTCAGGTACAATTCCGTTGTTCTTCCTTACTTTAAGTTGTGTTTTGTTTAGCAAGATTAACCATTCTTGTATGAAAATCAAGAGGAGCAAAGGCCATTTGCTGTGATATGTGTCTGAAGGCCAATTATTTTAAAAGGGGTGAAAAAGGACCAACCAAATAGAAAACTTATTAAAATTCTGCCATGGCATTGGCCACCGTTGCCATTATGGAATAAGAACACCAACATAGGGTTGTGCCTCGTGCTCAAGCATGTTATGACTAGATCATTGCAGCTGTTCAAATTGCATTGTCTCGTGTTGATTTTCCAGCAGTAATTAACACTCTTTGACACTCCCTTTGTGACCTTCGTATTTAATTTGAGTATGTCACAAAACAAAATACTTCAATGTTTGACTGGATTTACCAAATTAGTTACACAGCCTTTGTAACATATTTCCCTGTGCCAAAAATATAAACAGTAAATTTGCTGGCTGTTTTGTTTTTTTAAATGCAGGCAGTGTGGGACAACAGAAGAAAAAAAGACTGTGTCAGCCATGGACAGCCATCGAGAAAAACTTCATTGCCACTCATTTTGGACAGGCCCTTGATCTAGGGAGGTCTCTACGAAAAGCTGAATGCGTAGAGGCACAAGACCTACACCCAGAATTGAAAAAGCGCAAGTGGTCTAACATCAAGGATTATGTTCTAGCTGAAGCAAAACGGAGGCGCAAGGATGCATCTCATCAGTAGCAGCCAAGCATCTGAATCTGGCTTTTTAGTCTAGGGGCCTGTTTGTTTCACACTGATCTGGATCTCGAACAGTGATCCCAACGCTGGTTCGCTCCAACCTTTAGGCGGCTTCTGGTGTCAGTTGACCAACGACGGAATAAATTCCATATACGGACTCTACTTATCTGTCACCAAACACATCAATTTTCACCTCACCTTGTGTTTTCATTGAAGCGAAATCCAGGAGGTTTGGAAACCTGAAAAAATCTTGGGAAAAGTGTGTTTTAGGGCACATTGTAGGGGCACATATCATTCGCACAGCCGATGAAGCAGAGGAGGGAAAAGCAGAGAAAGTAACGATAACGTCTTGGTGCTTCAAAATTCATTTAAAAAAAGTGGAGTCCGTATATGGAATTCTTTCCCCAACAACAGATCACTGATTGCAATCGGATCCATGCAAAACAAACAGGCCCGTAGTCCAAATGTATTGCAATTGTGTGCAAACGCGAAATTGCAAAAAGCAAAAGTAGGTCCTGCAAAATTGCACTACATTGTACATGTAAAATGTCATGTTTAATGACGTCATGATGACGTCATTAAACATGTGATTTTATATTTTATTTTTTTCTTCGGAAATCTTTGCAAATTTTGATATAATTCAAGTCTCCTGTCCCTCCACTTGAGTGGGAAATTAAGTTACATTGTAGATGGCGGTCCTGTTTCAACATCATAACTTAATTTGTGGTATTCACAATTCTTATTTTGACTTCGGACTTGAAACGTTTGGAGTAGTCTTTGGCAAATGGCAAGTTAGGATTGGTTTTGAGGTCAATGGTCAAGGTCACAGTGGTGAGTTTAAGGTAAATGGTCTGGATTTTAACTAATTTAGATATGATATTTGGACCAAAACTTCATTCGGCAGGGGTAGTTCTTTGAAGAAAAAAACAGTTTGGATCGGCTCTGAGGTAAAACAAAATGTCAAAGGTCAAGGTCACAGTAGTCAGAAAAGGGTAAGTGGTTTCTGGATCATAACATCAGTTTGAAACTTCTATGGGGTCGGTTGTGATGTCAAAAGTAAATAACTTCCGGATCATGTCTTCAGTTAGAAAAGATATTTGGACTTGTATCCTCCATGGGGATTGCCCATTGGCTGAGGGGTTTCAACAGCATTCCTGTTAATTTTTGAATGTGTAGGATGTGTGCTCACTTTTACTGTGTTTCTCAAAGGATGTACTCACTTTTATTATGTCCTCGTGTGAATTGCATTGTCTCTAAATATACATCCCATGATGCAATTTCATATCATACACATGCAATACGGCAACTTCAATTGAAATGACACATGTTGTTCAGATACACGATGATGGAGAGACTAGCCCCAAACTAAGTCCCTTGCCTATTCACAGGCTCATGTCTGAGCCCAGGCCCATACCTAGGCCAAGATTTCAAACTCGTTCCCGGCGTAGGCCAGAGCCAGAGCCACCGTTGGTACATTGGAGACACATTTCACCAGTTTGGACAAAGATGATACTATCAGGAGTGAAGAAAAATCACCAAGATGTCAAGATCCTCTGGGTAGCAATATTGTCAGTCTTTATATTGACTTGCCTAATTGGTGGCTGCCTGGCTCGGCATTTGTGGGTACTTCTCTAAGTAATTCAGGTGGGTGTATTTGAATAACCGTTTCTCTCAATAACGAAAAATGTTACAAAGGAGTTATTATGTGATTTAGGGGAGGGGGGGGGATGACAAGTGGTCAGTGGTCAAGTGAACTTTTCAAATGTTATACATGTAGGTCAGGAATGTTGATCAATTGATTTGCCCTCTTGCCTTCTTTGTGTGGTCTGCGTGTGCACGGTTACTTAGGAAGGGTCTTTCCAGGGGATGACCAAAAGAACCAGTCTCCTGTCCCTCCACTTGAGTGGGAAATTAAGTTACATTGTAGATGGCGGTCCTGTTTCAACATCATAACTTATTTTGTGGTATTCACAATTCTTATTTTGACTTCGGACTTGAAACGTTGGGAGTATTCTTTGGAAAATGGCAAGTTAGGATTGGTTTTGAGGTCAATGGTCAAGGTCACAGTGGTGAGTTTAAGGTAAATGGTCTGGATTTTACCTTATTTTAGATATGATATTTGGACCAAAACTTCATTTGGCAGGGGTAGTTCTTTGAAGAAAAAAAAACAGTTTGGATCGGCTCTTAGGTAAAACAAAATGTCAAAGGTCAAGGTCACAGTAGTCAGAAAAGGGTAAGTGGTTTCTGGATCATAACATCAGTTTGAAACTTCTATGGGGTCGGTTGTGATGTCAAAAGTAAATAATCTCCGGATCATGTCTTCAGTTAGAAAAGATATTTGGACTTGTATCTTCCATGGGGGTTGCCCATTCGCTGAGGGGTTTCAACAGCATTCTTGTTAATTTTTGAATGTGTAGGATGTGTGCTCACTTTTACTGTGTTTCTCAAAGGATGTACTCACTTCTATAATGTCCTCATGTGAATTGCATTGTCTCTAAATAGACATCCCATGATGCAATTTCATATCATACACATGCAATATGGCAACTTCAATTGATATGACACGTTGTTCAGATACACGATGATGGAGAGACTAGCCCCAAACCAAGTCCCTTGCCTATTCACAGGCTCCTGTCTGAGCTTTGTGTGGTCTGCGTGTGCACAGTTACTTAGGAAGGGTCTAATTAGGTTCCATTTTCAATGAATGAAACATCCCTTCCATTGCACAAATGAAACATCCATAAATTGTTATGTGCCATGTCTTAAAAAACATTATAATTTGCACCGGAAAACGATTAAAAAGTGAAATTTATCATGCACAATTTTAAACCATGGATGTCAGTTTGCAAGACCTACTTTTGTGATGATGCAAGCAAAACTTTATTGTTTCCAATGTTTCCATTTAGAGCCCAGACTGCAGCAATACAAACCCATGGCACTGCAACAGACTGCACCGCACTGCATCAATCATCTCAACACAGCCATCTTGGAATAATCATCTTGGAACAATAATTTCATCAATGTCATGTTTAATGACGTCAAGATGACGTCATTAAACGTGTGATTTTTTATTTCACATATAAGAGTACGTCCAATCGGCATGAAACTTGGTGGGAAGGTAGATAGCACCACTAGTTTGCAAAACAACAAAATGACATCATGGTGATGTCATCAATTGATTTTCTGTTATACTGTCAAAATATGATCTGATTGGCCGTAAGGTAGGCGTAATGATAATGTGTTCATCATAGGTCTTGTGACATAATCTTGAAGGGGCATATTTCAAGCTCTTATATCTGGATAACTGTAAACCCAGGTGGGATCAAGTGGGTATGTAGGTAACCAGCGATGTGTTATATGTAATAATTGAGATTACATGATCACATCATTATAAAAAAATATATATATTAATATTTTAATTTTTGACCCCCAAATTCAGAGAACATCCACTGAATTGTTTTCAAACTAAAACATACAATAAGCTTTAATAGGTTGGTAGCTTGTATTGTGGAAGCCTATAAACCTTTCCAACTCATCGGTTACAAAACTGCAGCATTTGTTAAGTATGTAATATGTAACTTTTGCTTCATCTTTGAGTCTCTGGGATTCGGTTTAATTGGGCTGATGTGACAAAATGGTCTTGGAATGAGCAGAATACTTTCTTTTGGGGGTTGATCCATGAATGCAGCAAAGCCAAAGTTACTTTAATTGACTAATTGAGTCATTTTGTTAAAACACTTTTAAAATTAATTTTCAAAGTAATAAAAAAATGGGCAAGAGTGGGATTCGAACCTGCAACCTCCAGAATACCATATCACCGTTCTATCTACTCAGCTTTCCCTTTGTTGGTGGTCTCCCAAATTGTCTGTTTGGGATGGCGCTTGTCAGTAAACAAAAAACCACAATGCCGTTTTTAGCAAGGGATCACACCTCATTTTCCAAACATACAACCGTTTAACTCTGCAATTTTAATTGAGAATAGCACAAAATAAACCACAAAGGAACATGCAAGGTGATGTTAATTGATTTAGTGAACAAGGAAAAACTGGTCAGGATTGGAATTCGAACCTGCGACCATAGGTGTTTAACTTTGAAATTCTTATTACAATACTTTAGCCTCACTGACTTCAAAAACAGGGCTACCTGAGTTGATTCTTTTGGCCAATAACTTTCAGATGGGCAGTTACTTTAAGATAACTAGATGTTACAAATTTGCCCTCCAAAGTCAATTCTTGCGAAGTTTGAAATGATGTAAATCTAGACAAAGGTGAATTTCCGTGTTGAGAGTTTTTGAGTAATTCATTGTTAAAAGTGTAATGAACATACACAAAACGTTTTCAAGTTTCAACTGATTTTAATATATTAGGTGGACAATTTATTTTCTTGTCAGTTTAGTCTTACATTTTGATGTAAAAGTGTTGTTATTACCTTTAATTTCATGAATGAAATATTATGGTGGATTCAGTCGCAAGGTGCTGTTCAACATTGTTTTCTAAAGCATACAAAAGATGTCTGTCTATACCTCACCCCTCCCAGCCCCCCCCCCCCCCCAAAAAAAAAGGAGGTGGAGGAGGTGGTGTAAAGTTGTGTACATTTTTACAACATTTAAGCGGACAGTTTAAATTGTAGAAAAATCAGCCCAAGTTATAGGGATTACAGCATTTCATGTGTTTACAGTCATCCTCAATCTCAAAATTTAAAAAACGCATAACTTTTACAATAATAGCTTAAATAGCCCATTTTCCTCATTATTAAAGGGAACATTTTGTCGTAATGTTAAGAAATGGATGGATGTTAATGCTGGTTTGACGACGAACATTGGAATTGATACAAAAATGCCACTTTTCTTAAAATGAAAGCACACCCAGTGCCATGATTTTACTGGATGCTGAAGACTTTCCTAACAAACAGTCCAGTAAGATATTTCATAATAATTTGTTAGGTTTTTTGTTTTATGTTTGCAAATGTTTGTATATTCCTTTTAATTTCTGGGCGTAACAAATTGCATTCTCTGTTACAATTAGTTGCATAATTAAAATCAGAAGGAATTTTAATAACAATCATGTAAAATTAGTATTTTTCCTTGGAAGCTTACCAAATTCACTGTCCGCTTGTTACTGACACAATGGATGCTGTAACTTCAGGCATTCGTGGTAGCTGTGAAATTGCCTGGGCTTTGGGAAAGATAGCTCCTTTTGGAGATTGATGTTAATTACAATGATATTTTTGACAATGGTTTGGGTTTTACCTCTCAGCCCTATTGTCATTGCCTAATGTGTCCACCTGGACAGGCTTGTTTCAAAGGCATAACCTCAGTTAAAAGTGTTAATTGGACTTCAAACTTCCATGGGGGTTACCTTTAAAACTGACAAGTTGAGATTGGTGTTGAGTTTGAAAGTTCAAAGGTCAGGGTGACGCTGGTGGGTTTAAGATGAAATGATATCCGGATTATTACTACCACAATGGGCTGAGTGGTTTCAACAGCATTGCTGTTATTTTTCCAGCATTGCTGTTATTTTTCCAGCATTGCTGTTATTTTATAAAGGATGTCTCAGTAACTTGGTGTTTGGTGAGCTACTTTGAATACATGTACAATGTTAAGATGGTATTAATTGATCGTTTTGACTTGTTCCTAACAAAGTCTTGTTTTCTTCAAGCCATCCAAAAAAGCTAGTTTGAAAATTCCCAAGTCTTGTGAAAAAAAAATTCTGATTTATTATATTTTTTAATACAATGATAGTACTTTTAAGAAGTAAGTGCTCTTATTCGATTTGACATACAATTTTCATTTCTCGGCAGCTGTCTTTTGTTTTTGTTTTACCTGGGCTGCTGAGGTTCATGTGCGTTTCATTGGATATTGCAGTGCTGAAAGGCACATTGCACAAAAGTCACTTCCTCGTTTGTGTTACAAGTATCCAGTTATGCATTTCCTTCGTGAATGCACACATTTCCATAGCCTTCGCAATTTTCCATCATTTCGCGAGTAACCCTGGTGTTTGTTCCACAATGTTCTTCATTTTCTATTGTGCAGTGTGTGGTGTGGACCCATATTTTCAACCCCACCTTCAACCCTGCAATGTTTCACATTGGCTATGTGGGGAAAATGCGACCCTTTTTGGAGCAGGGCAGAGTTCATTCAGCCAGGATGGTGGGGGTAAGGGTAGTCTTGGAGTTGAAACCTTTTAATGTGAAAACAAACATGAGCCATGTCTAAGGTGAACAGGCAATTTGCTAACAGAAATCAAAGCAAAAAACCTTGCTTGCTCATGCATTGTAGCTATACAAAGGGTGTATAATTTATCTATTCAAGATGTTTGCAATGCACCTACACTGTACTGCTGCAGTTTGTGCAGAATGTATCTTTATTTTGTGAGATGTGTATTAATAATAATTTTCATCTATGGAAAATCCCAAGATGTAGTTTGAATTATGTGAACTTTTGTGAGTTTTGCACTAAGCAATTAAATTTTGCCATGTTGACTGAGTTAAGATAATATGTAGTACACATTGATTGCTATTTTGCGTGTATGATAAGAACAAAACAGGTTAAATACTCCACCCCCCCCCCCCCAAGCGCCCTCTGCAAGATTTTGGGAGTGAACTTAATTGGGCAAAATGTACGCAACAAATATATAGAACTCTCTCCTTCCTGCTTATTAAGTATATGTTATCATTGACAAGGACATTTCCCGCCCTTCCCAATAATTCAGTCTTCGATAGAGCTTCTCAATGAGGACGATTTATATCTCAATATATGGATCAAACAGCTTTATTGCTGTCGCCCATGGACAGCAATATTTTTGTTTGTTTACAGCTTGCCTTTGTAAACGAATTAACGGTGGAAAACTATTTTCAGGAAAAAAAATCTTGCTTCACTCCCCAAGCTTTTTGGTCTCAAATGAATGGCGCAATAATTACTATACAATATAGATATATAATGTCCGTGCGTTTTGACTCCCAAATGAAAATTAATCCTTGTTTTGAATTGCTATTTTTGCTAGTAGTACGAAAATTATTCATTTTGGAATGAGAGCCGGAAGAAAAACTATGTCGACATTTAGAGATTTGTTTCCTTATTGAAATTCCTTTGATATCAGCCTACTCCCCTTTCATCTCATCATTACCCTCCAATTTCGCTGTACTTCTTGTTTTCTCTCTCCTTGACCAAAACTGTCCAAGCTCCTTTGTATCTTCCGTGCTTTCTTGCCTGGAGTGCCCTGTCAGCATCCTGGATGTCCTTTTCCTTTCAACGGTGCTAGTGTATTTAATAGTCGTTTGTTTTTGTTTTAGGTCACTTTGCCTTTGACATTTTGTTGTAAGTCAAAGGTCTCTTAAGTTCGAATTGTTCCCCTTTTCTATAGCACTTTCAAAGACAGGCATTATCTTTAAGACTCAGTTTTGTGGACATGAAATTGTGTACATCCGCGAAGAGTTACAGACCAACATCGCCCTCTCGTGGTTCGCTATTTTTTGTGGATAATTTATTTTCTTTGATAATAAAGGTCAAAACAAAGCTTTACTTGTGTTATTAAGGCGCTCCTAATTGCATGTTTTATTTGCAGGAAAATAAACTTCAATCTTACAACCACTAACACTGAAAACCGGAAACCAAAAAGTGAGGACTACAGTACAAATTTATTAAGTGCCCTGTATTTTTGTTCTCATTATATAGATACACACAATGAATTTGGAACTTGAAATGCGAGAACTGTTCCGATATGCCTGGCTAAGAGAGACGAAATATTGTTTATAAATAGTCCTCACTTAAACTGCTTGGCAGCTATGCATGTACATACATGACATTTTATGTGTACCGCCGTGTGTACGTGTACGTACCCACTAGTCGGCCATTCTGATCTTCATCGCTCGCGCGGAGGCTAGGCTAGGCTAGTGCTTGCATATCGAGCTAGACACCGGTGATCGGTGCGCCTTTAGTTGTCAGTGGTTGTGAGGTCGAGAGGCCGGGATCCGTGGTGTTTTGCTTGGGTCACTGTGTCAGGTAGGGACCTAGTTACAGCGTAGATTATCAATTACTTAGGCTAGGTAGGGTTAGAGGCGTCTGTCTCCTGAAAAGGTCAAGACTTTACCGATGTCAGCAGGGGTAAGTTAAATAATAGGCTTAAGGCTTAAGCATTCCTAGTACCCTGTTGGCGGGACAGACGCCTAGTTGTAGTACTAGTAAGGCCTAGGCCTATGATCCCAATACTGCGGTTTGGGTACTGGCACAGTGACCTGACTGTCTCAAACCTTGTGTCTTTGCCATGTCTGTTTTATACATGTACATGTATAAATAGTTCTGTAATATAATAAGCACACAAAGGCCTACTTTTTCTCAATTTTGTTTTTGTGCCACTGGCACAGCGTTTATGATTGGATAGGCATGTTGTGTGTAATTCAAGCATGATGAAGCATAGGCATAGCCCAACACAGCATACTTTTGCATCGGCTTTTGCATCTGCTTTGGTTGATTGGAGTATTTTTCAGTAAATGGCTTATGTGAAACCGCTGTCATACTGGGCAAAGAGACGTAAAATACAGCATGAGCTTTTGGATTTCCATGTGGCAAGGCAGGGACCCAGGCCTAATGAATCACATGTTGTTGCTGGACAATATCAAAACATCCAAAGAAAGGACAACCACCATCATGACCATGATGTTGGAGGTGCTCTGTCTGATGGTACTAGTTTGGTGGCTGAAAACTCGGAGTCAATTATTGATGTTGCATCTGCGTCATTCCGTGCTTCTCTCCTTCATGCACCCTCATGCTCTTTTAATCAGATAGATGATTGTTGTAGTTCTGATGAGGATACAAGTTGTGCAAGTGATAACTGCGAATTGGAAGATGAAAATGTTTCAGTTGCAACATGTCTTGCTGACTGGGCTGTGAGTCATAATATTCCACATGCAGTGTTATCTAGTCTGTTGCATATTCTACAACCATTTCACTCTGAACTACCAAGAGATGCGCGAAGTCTCTTAGGAACAATAAGACACATTGATGTACAGAGTGTAGCAGGTGGTTTATATTATCATTTTGGTCTGCTTAATGGAATCCAATCAAAGCTTGGTGTAAGTTCTGATGTTAAAGGAAACACAATATCTGTCAAAGTAAATGTGGATGGATTACCATTATTCAAAAGTTCTAATGCCCAGTTCTGGCCAATTTTAGGCATAATTGATCAACTTCCTGTAAAACTTCCCTTCGTAATTGGTCTGTTTTCGGGGAACTCCAAGCCTTCTTCAGCAAAGGAGTTTCTGCAACAATTTGTTGCAGAAGTTATTTCATTAGAAAATGATGGTGTTATATACAAATCTAATAGCTATAAGTTTCATGTATCAGCTTTTGTGTGTGATGCCCCTGCTCGAGCTTTTACCAAAAATGTCAAGGGACACTCTGGTTATTCAAGCTGTGAGAAATGTACACAAACGGGTGTTTGGAAGGGTAATGTTACATTTCCTGACACTGATGCATCAAGGCGGACAGATGACTCATTCAACCTAAGGCAGGATGATGATCACCATCAAGGCCCATCCCCACTTGAGGGTACTTCTATAGGAATGGTTTCACAATTCCCACTTGATTACATGCATCTCGTATGCCTTGGGGTGATGAGAAGACTGTTGCACCTGTGGATGAAAGGACCATTAGGGACAAGAATTCAGTCAAGGGTGGTGACTGAAGTTTCTACTTCACTGGAAGGTTTTAAAAGTTGCATACCATGCGAATTTGCAAGAAAGCCAAGACCCCTTGAAGAAGTCAACAGATGGAAAGCCACTGAATTTCGCCAGTTTCTGATCTACACCGGCCCAGTTACTCTGCTTGGGAGGTTATCGGGAGTGCTTTACAAAAACTTCATGTTACTCTCTGTTGCTATTTTTATTCTTCTTAGTCCCAATCTCTGTTCCTTTCCAAAGTATGTGGATTTTGCTGAGAAGTTGCTTGTTCTTTTTGTTAAGCATTATACAGAAGTGTATGGGAAAGAGATGGTTGTGTACAACGTTCACGGACTTGTACATCTGGCAGATGATGTTAGGAATTACGGGCCTTTGGATGCGATATCGGCATTCCCTTTTGAGAACTTCCTTGGTCAATTTAAAAAGATGGTCAGGTCTCCAATGTTGCCACTGCAACAAGTGGTGCGTCGTTTATCGGAAAGAAAAGAATTCATAGAAACCCACAGGCATGACAGGTATAGCCAAAACCGGCTTCAAGGAGAACATAGCAGTGGCCCTGTACCACAGGGGTACATTGCAACGATACAGTACAAGAAATTGGTCTTGAACAATTGTTGCATAGGGACCAAAAGTGGTGATAACTGTATTAAGATTAGAGGAGACATATGTTTGGTTTTTAATATTTTCATGCAAGGAGATACTACATACGTAGTGTACAAGGTCTTCCGTCGTAAGCGTCGGTTCTTCAAATACCCCATCAATTCCCAATTATTGGGAATTTTCAAAGTTTCAAGGCTAAGCAATGACTTCTCATGTGTGTCAGCTTCTGCAGACATTGAAGGAAAGTATGTTCTGTTTGAACTTGAAGATAACAAAAAAGATAAAAGTGGTGTCCATGTTGCCATTCCTATGCTTCACGAGTGTGGTTCTGCATTGGAATTATAAATTTCTAATCAGAATTAGAAATAGGATTGTACCTCACTGCGCCTAAGTTGGCCAATCAATGGCAACTTTTGTAGACAAGTCAATTGTGAAAATTGGGGGGATCCCCTGTGAGATGGTCCAAAATAATGTGTATCTTTGAGGGTTGAGACAAAGGCTTTTTAAACTTAAATTTGTACAAAGTTTGGCAAACGTTTGTTTATCCATTTTTTTTAAATTTCTGTGCAGGCACACTGTAATTCTGAAAGTGGGTTGACAACTGATGACTGATAGTGATTTTTCTTAAACATTGGAAGTTGCATGCATTACCTGTATTAGCAAAGTCTGTAAGTGTGGGTTAAAGGCTAAAATGCACAAAGTTTGAGACGATCCTGTTCACAACCATCTTGCAACTATTTCCCCCCAGCGTGCCTACATGTACATTTACATGTAAGTTTGGAACGATGGATTGCATGTACCGGGTCGTGGAATTCAAAGAAGAAGGAGAGGTGGCCATTGTTCATTCAAAATGGATGGTAGAAAATTCAACCGACCTTGTCCGTTGGCCAAATTTTCGCTCTTCAAGTGTGATACATAAAGCTCTTATCTCTGCAATGAACCCTCAAGAAAGCTGGGGGTACGTTCAGTGTAAGGGTGCTGTACTCATCAAGTAAGTATATGTTTGTTTTTTCATTAAAATCCAATGCATTGTGCATTTTACATACAACACATTTCATTAAACCGTTTACATATGGAGATGAGAACCATATGCATGAAAAAGATGGTCGATTTCTCTTTAAAGGGAAAAGAAAATGTCTCTTTCTGGTCCATAACCAAAATGTTTGTATTGCATGCTGTGCTTTGAACGGAGGGTGGTGAGGCCAAAAAAAAATAGTTCTGCTTCCGGTTTCCCTACCTACCCTAGTTTGACAGCCCTTACCCTAATTTTTGTATTGGCAAAATGAGAAAAAACATCCACAAACCCTCAATTTCTACCTTTTGCCCTTGACTACACGCAGACGCCTCCATATGATCGTACACAAAAAAACATTGCCACCTACCTATCCTATTTTTTAAATGCCATGAAATCAGGGCAGAACTATTTTTTTTTTGGCCTATATAACAATGTGCAGTTTTTTGTTTTCCTTTCACAGACTCATATGAAAAAGCAAGAGGGAAGTTGCGGCAGGCCGAGAGCGAGTCAGATTTACAAACAGCAGAAGAGGGGGAACCCAGAAAAAGAAGGTAGAATTGTCATTTCACTAACCATGCTAAGACAAAATAACTAAAGCACGGGTCTCCAGGGGCTGGCCAATCCTGTTATATTTTCCGCCCTTCGTAAATTCCCCCCTACCCCAACTTAAATCTTATTGTCTCATGGCACAGTTGGAGTGCATGACATGGATAAATTCCCTGCCTATACATAGCACAAGTACTTAATTTTTTTCTCAGTGGAGAACCTGTTTAAAATTGTGCTTTTACATGTATTTGTGACAAGAATCATGCTTTTAAAAGTTGCACAAACTCACTTTGCTAGTTAAAATTGTTTATTTTTTAATTTTTTGCATTTATTGATGCACCAGCCTAGAAAGTACTATGTGTTAAAAATTATTTGTAGGTTAGTTAAGTGGTGGGTTACATTCTGGGCCTAATTCCACGGCGCTGCCAAGTGCACAATTTTCCGCTATAATACTCAAGCCTCTGCGTAAGCAGTAAGAACAGCAAAAAGCATGTTTATACTACTGTATATTTAGAAAACATTTGCTTAACGTACTGATAGTGACGTTACAATGGAAATCTCCATTTATGCGCATTTGTTAGCACAAACATGCTGTAAAATAGTGCTTAAGCAAGGTTAGCACAATTTTCTACATGTAAGCACAACTTTTCCACTAACTGTTAAACAGTGCCATGAAATTGGACCCTGATCCAGAATTCGGGGATAAGCAACAGTTACCTTTGAGAGTTTAACCTGTGCTTTCTCCTGAGTTAAACCTGGAATATTTTTCATTTTTTTCCGTGAATTCTGTTTGAATGAAGGGTGAACAAAAATGCTTCATTTCATGTTTTTAACTCATTTCATGCCGGGGAGGGGGTGAATTCACCCCCCCTCCCCTTCAACAATTTCTCCAATGTCGTTGCAGTGCATATTTTAATTTATCTCGCGGTCATTTGACATCATTCTTGTGAAAATCGGATAAGACGTTCTCGCGCAACACTAATTTTTCTGAGATCAGTTGAAAATGCACACTTTTTCCATTGACATGCTCAGTGCATGCGGGCCGACACCATAAACTTCCAATGATCATAATATCAAAACCCATTATTAGATAGAGTTGAAACGTCACCTTTTTATTGATAATGAGTGTCTTCAGATGCATGTTAACTTGATCAGGCATTGTAACGTTTGGGGTTACATGCAAGTATAATTTAAAAAAATACAAATTTGTTGTCTGCAGGCTAAACAAGCGCTATGTAATTGACAACGATGACAGCAGCAGCGGTGATAGTGACAGTAACCCAAGCAGTCCGGAACCAACCAGGCCTCGCACCTCTGCTAGTACATCACTTGCCACTCTGCCTACACCATCAACTGCAACGCCTTCAACCAAGACTCAAACCATGGCTAGTACATCACGTGCTAGTCTGCCTGCACTACCTTCAATGCGTTCGACCAAGACTCATACTGGTTTGTCGGCTAGTACATCACGTGCCAGTCTACCTGGACCACCTGCACCGCCTTCACCAGCCAGGCCCCCTTCCCCATCAACACCATCACCCCCTTCCTCACCTGTGGCAGCCTCCAGGAATGATAATGGTAAATAAGATTTGAAGATTTACACAGTGAAGGTAGCAATAAGATATGGGTTTACAGCAGCACCATGTGACAGGTTCTGAAAGAATCGAGTGAATTCAATGTTTCGGACAGTATATGCTCTGCCTGTCGTCAGGAGGATCGGCAGAGCATACTGTCTGAAACATTGAGTCTTCCCAAGTGCTTTTCAGAAACTCACCAAGAGGAGATAATAGTTAAAGGAACCTTTTTTTTTTATAAATAGGGCTGTAGTGCAAAATTAGCTACTTTAAATAAGCCCCGAGCCTCATATTTTCAGTATCAAATAATGTAACAAGATATGTTACCATATGCTTTTGCCACTTTTTGGGAGGGTTTTAAATGTGTAGCAAAGATTCTGTAATTTTTAACTTTTCACTTTAAGCCATAATAATTATTTACCAAAAGGTGGGTCATAATTAGTATAGGCTTGCACAGTGTATATGTTTGCAAAGTTGTGATTAACCTGAATTGACAGTAGTATTCGTCAACCAAATCATAGCGCCACAATACTGACCAATGAAATCTTGTAAGTGGAGACATTTTCTTGGATTCCATGGTTTAGAGAAATAGTATACGTATCATACCAATGTGTTGCATGTGGGCAAAGTGTTCTAAGGGATGTAGCAATTAAACTAGCAAACGGTGATGGTTCAATTTGAAGAGATGTTGTTATATACCATTCATACTGTCTATTTGTTTTTCATCTCTTCTCCACAGCATTTGAACTACGTGTCGTAACCTTGCTTTTGGACATTAAAGCTCAGGTGGAGCATAACACAAAGCTCATCATTGCTGAGAGAACCAAAAATAGAGAACCTGACGAGGCGGATGCAGTTTTTCCTTTGAAAACACTTGAAGAGGTGGATGCGCTGGAGCAGACCGTGAAAGATGTCAGCAAGCAAAAACGCCTGGTAAGCTGCACTGTACATAATACACTGTATTGTGTATGTCAAAAATTACCTTTGGTTTATTCTACAAAATGACCTGCCGATGCTGCCGCCCTGTGTTAATTTTCCCCCAGTGGAGCACCCTGAAAGCAACAATGGTTCATGCTTCTTGCTGATTGCGCGAAGCTCATTGGCCATAACAGTGAGAGGTTTGAATTAATCAGTACCAGAGAGTAAAGATCGTGCAACCCGTGGTGGGAAACAACATGGGGAATGAGGTTGGAATGGACCAAGATCATGTACACCACACATGATCAAGAAAGTGGATTCTAATTGCTGCACATTCACATGCCAGTAAAACAGGCTTATGACATGTATGAACAAATAAGCTCAAACGGGCTGGATTGGGTGCCTATTTCCAAGGACAGATCCGGAACCAATTTTTTTTTTTGGGGGGGGAGCAAGGGGGATGGCCAACAAGTTTTGATTATTGTTTCATGTTAACTTGATATTTTATGGCTTGATGGCTTTTTATTTGAAGGAAGGGGAAAGGAGACAAACACAAAATCACTCTTCTCATCACACCTCCTAAAAGGAAAGCAATCTGACTAATTAATTGTTTTGTGCTTTTAAAAAACAAAAATACATGTAGGTGCAACAGCTTTTACACATAGGCGGCACCAACTTGGCTACCACTGTTCGTCGCATTTTGACATACTGTTTGACCCAGGATGTAGCCATCGCCTTCAACTGGTTAGGGAAGGGAAATGGAGAGAAGAGAGCCTTTTCGACCCTTGCCCTCAAGACAGCGATATTTAGTAAGTAGTATGTAATTGTTTTTCCATCCATGCAAAAACCATGAATCAGTTGTCAGTTGTCTGAATAAGGGAATGTCGTTTAATGTCACCAAAATTGGCTTAATTGCAGCAAGTGTTCCTTGCAACCCCATTACCCAATCTGGGTCAGATAGGAATTAGGATTGTTATGAAATGGGATAGCAAATGAGTATAACTGGAATATTTACCAATGTAAAATATATGATAATAATAATAATGGGTGTTTATAAGCTCGTCAATCCATCAGGACAGGTGCTCAAGGCACTACATCATTATTACCCCTGCTCATTAAGTGGGCCAATGAAACATTCCCAATACCATATCAGCTCCCTGGGGAGTACAACTTGCGGCTGCAATTTCGGCACACAGCAGCTAAATTAACCACAAACATCTTTGCCCTCACAGGTACCCAAATTGAGTGGCAAAGTGCCTTGAATAAGCTAGGGCACACGCACCATAACCCCAGGCTGGACTCAAACCCACAACCTGCACTTTACCCGCAGACCACGTATCTAATAATATGCCCTTAACTACGAGGCCACAGCACTCCACCAGCCTCCACTAAAATTTCATTCTAATTTAAAGAAGGCATTGTGTATGGTAAATGATATTTGTCATACTATGTTCTACGGTGCACAATTTCTGTGCACAAGGTCATTGAAGCAGTCAGTGCATCTGTGTAAATATTACATTACACAAGAACCATACATCAGATTTTTATTAATTTGGTGGCAAAATGTACTTAAGGTATCAGCTGAACAAGTATAAAAAAGGCACGTAAGGTTCTAGCTCTCAATGCATTCAGGTGAAATTTTCGATTTTTTTTGTGAAAGCGTAGTGCAGGAATACTTACGTGTCCATGATTTTATCCCATTCAACTTTCAGAAGCTGTACAGAAGAACCCATTAACTTCAGCTGCATCTTTGGCCGAAGTAGAGGCAGTAATGAAATCATGGTTCAAACATGCAGCTGATAGAAATGCTGGCCGGCAGCGAAGGGGCAACAATGATTGAGAGGGGTTTGTTTAAGACATCAGTTGTTTAAGACATCAGTTTGTTTAGGATATTAGTTTATGTCAATAAGCCTTTTGCAAGTAAAATTTTAATAAAATCTGGTACACTTACTCACTCATATGCTGAGCATAGTAACTTTGAATTTCCCAGACCAAAGAGACTGTTACTATATCACGTGATTCAGGGCAAGCCTTACGCTAGCAACCCCCAGCTCCAGCATGGTCTGGTGTCTGTGTGCCATTCTCACTCATTGTGGACAATGAATTGGTGCTGAGCGTCTCTTTCGTAACTATGCAAGAGCTTGCCCCGAATCATGTGATATATAGGAACAGTGTCTTTGGAGATTAAAATTTTGAGCAAAACAGTGTACCAGCTATTATTGAAATTTAAATCGCAAAGGGTAAAGGTTACGTGCAAATGGCTTATATTCAAGAGACTTCGACAACTCAACCCTTGCCCAACTGGACTCGGAACAAATCGTCCGTTGTGACAACTCGACCGTTGCTTAAGGGTGTCACTTCACCATTGCATCAATAATCAAAATTCTGAAATGCCACAATAAGGTATCGCGATACAAAATTGTCTATTGCGATACTTTAATACTTAGAAATAGAGGCTGCTATTAAACGTGTGATGCATGAATTGAAAACAAAAATGTAAATCAAACAGCTTCTGTACCCCTTAGTCGGAGGCTGGAGGGGTATTGTCATCGTCTACATAATGTTCCGTCTGTCTGTCCAGGCGTCTGGGCATCCAGGCAGCCCGATAACTTGAGTTAGAAATGTGCTTTGAGTTTATGACTTCAGGAGAGGGTTGCCCCTGGGAGCAGGGTAGTTTTGATTGGTTTGGGGTCAAAAGGCCAAACGAACTTTAAAGAAATATGCTAACTTTGCACATTTTTGAATCTTATCTCCATAATTCTTAGACGGGTCCTGTTGACATATCAGCTGATTTAAATGTCGGGAATCACCATGAAATAAATTGCTAGGATTCAAATTTTGTCATCAAGAGTAAAATGTTCCCCCTTATTGCGTTGCATTTCACCTCTGAATATTCAACTCCAACAGAGTTGGATACTCGATCAAATATTTGGCACAGCCATAATTGTGAAGCTGAACCAAAGTGTGGGATCACATACGGTTATTATTTAAACCTGTAACATTTTATTTAATGTGCAATATTTTATTCATTTGTATTAACAAGGTTCTGAGGCAGCATTTCATCCCCGATTATTTACTTGTTTATTTACGTTTCAAATGATGAAGTGTCCGAGTTTGACTGAAAGATAAAAAGGAAGAAAAGTTTGCAACCGATAAAATATGAATTCAAAATTGTTCAGTGTTGAGGATTTATATCAAAATTTTGTTTAAAATTCTTGAAAGTTTCTTGAGAGGTTAAACGTGTAAAGCTCAAGGTGTTTTTAAAATGGCTAAATTTCAATTGTAAAATCTGTTTTAAAATGCATGTAAAGGCTGTTATTAAAATGAATTTTTCCCAATTGTGAAATCTGTCACAATGTGAATCATTTTTTTTCTGAAATGTAGGTTGGAAGTGATAATTTGGAAGCTTGTTGATTAGCTAAATGCCGCCTAAATGCCGGTCAGAACGACGGAGGGAAAGGGTTGATTTAAAGTCGGGCCGACGAATTAATGCTCCCGGCAAATGGACTGAAAATGGCAGTCGGGACGAAGTAGGGTGGAAGTAGACAAAGGGCTGATTATACGTCGGACCGACGGATATAGAAAGTCGGTAAATGGGCTGAAAATGGCAGTCAGAACGACGAAGGGTGGAGGTAGGGCAGGGTTAGTTAAAAGTCGGGCCGACGGATTAAAGCTGCCGGCAAATGGACTGAATATTGCAGTCGGGACGACGTAGGGTGGAGGTAGGAAAGGGTTAGTTAAAAGTCAGGCCGACGGATTAATGCTGCCGGCAAATGGACTGATGAATATTGCAGTCGGGACGACGTAGGGTGGAGGTAGGGCAGGGTTAGTTAAAAGTTGGGCCGACGGATTAATGAAGTCGGTAAATGGGCTGAATATTGCAGTCGGGACGACGTAGGGAGGTTGGTTGGGAAAAAAGTTCGTTATAGTAACCCGTACCGACTTTGGTTGTACGTCGGAAGTTGAACGTCGGTACGACGCCTTTCTGAACGTCGGTACGATAAAGGAGGATACAGGTTGGGCCGCCGTCGGCAAGACTAACGGAAATTCATCGTTGGATGTACGTCGGGATGACGGTAAGTTCCATGAGTTTTCATTACTTTTACTAGTTTTAAATTGTTCTCATGTGATTCGATTATCCAGTTAATTATCCTGTTCAATTCCTTCCACTCGATAAAATATTTTTCTAATTAATAGTTATTTTTTTCTCCAATCTTTTCTTCAAACCATTTTACATACATGTATTAATTCACATCATGATTTTTTACCTCCTCCAGTCAATCTCTTTGCATTAGGCGCATCTAATGAGACACTGTACTGTTGCCCATCTTCATCTTCAATAATGACAGTCTGCCAATACCTGAGTTAAACATAAAATAGAGAAAGTGAACACACGTACATTGTATGTACACAAATGATGGATTTAATAGTAGTGTCAGTTAAATCCAGGCAATATATCCAGTCTCTTTTCATAAGACCCACCCATATATAGCTGGTGCCTAAAAATGTTGAAAACAAGACAAATATTGTGACAAAAAGGAACATATTTATTAAGAATTTATCTAGAATATTTGTGAAATGGCGTGCCAGGAACCAAGCCCATAGATACACGATCACCCTACAAACACACTGCTACATGTAAAGTGGGACGGCATGTTGTAAATGCGATATCAATTCGTCGCTGGGTTTACTATGCCAGTATGCCATAACAATACTCAATAGCTAAAAACAGTAACGCTGTCGAGCGCAAAGTGAGTCCCCCGCGCAAGTTTAAACTTGCGCGCGCAAGTTTAAACCGGCGTGCATTCATTTCCTTGCTACAAATTGCGCACGCAAGTTTAAACTTGCGCACTGCATAGATTTTCCCGGCCACGCATACAGAGCCGCTAAACTATTTTGCCCCTGGGTATACTCGTGCAGATATGTAAAATTATTTTTAAAGCAGATTTTTTTCTCCGATTTAATATTATCACTGAGCTTCGGGAGACAATGCCTTAATGCCTTTTTTTGAAACATTTGATTAAATTCATTAATTAAATCATTTACAAATTTATTTACTTTTTAAAATAATTACCATTTTATATGCATAGCGTTTTTAAGTTGTAAACATTTTTTAATATAAATTATTGAGCCTGCAATAAAAAAATATTTGTTAAAGTAATACATTTAATTAATTAATGAAATCAGTAATGCATTCATTATTTTTTTTCAAATTACGCATTTTTGAAGTGTACACAGCGCTCGAAATGTTATGCAAGTATTTCTAAAAACAATATGAATTATTGTACCGTACAATTTATTAATTGTTAAATTAATTAGTATTTTTTTAAGAGTAAGTACTTTTTTAATTGTAGAATACATTAAGCATTTTAAAAATAATGCAAATGATTAGTATAATGTCAAAACTTGAACAATTGAAGGGATCATAATCATTCTTTTTACGTTAACAGCGGGTTACACCTAGGAAATTATGATTTATTTACATTCAAGAATATAAATAAAATGCTAATTAGGTTTACAAAGCAAAAAACTTGAAGCTGGTCTCCATTTTTGAACAACTTCGGTACACTTTCCAAGCAATCGCCGCTAGTGTGCTTAAGTTGATCCCTGGCCCCGCCCCCACTTACCGTTAAACAACTTCTCTGATAAGCACTGCTAAATCTCAAAATTTCTTTTCATTGACACTAATTGAATTCCCCTTTTTATTATTTCTTATTCATTCATTTATTCCATTATTTCTCCATGTACTCGTGTTTTGAAAAAAAAAATTCTTCATCAATGAAAATCCCGCCCGCAAAAGAAGGTTGCGATCGCCTTTGCGCAAGTTTAAACTTGCGCACGCAAATTAAAATGGCGCGGTGTAATTTGCGTGCTTCAGGAGTCCCTCGCACAAGTTTAAACTTGTGCGCGCAAGTTTAAACTTGCGTGGGGGACTCAAATTGCACTCGACAACACCACTAAGTAAAAATGATGTAGGCCTATGTAGGCCTGGCCTAGCTGACTAATAATTAGTTCCTTAATTGTTCCAATGAAAATTGGAAAGAGTGTGGATCGGTGTTATTGGGAAAACAGAAACAACTTCTTATGGTTATGACCGGTACAGCTAGTAGGCCTATATGAGCAAAAATACAGGGAAAGAATGTTGCAACCTGGCAATTTCAGCAGTTTCGGTTGTGTACAACTGAACTACAAAGTCTAGGGAGACTCAAATTTTTTTTAAATCATTTCCTAACAAAATTGGAAATGTTTTTCAGTCCCAGATTCATGTCTTACCATCATTTTGGCAACGACCGACCTTCAATTTTTCATTGAGATGATGAAAACCATGTGTAAACTGATTGTACAGCAGACCATGAACAGACTACGTTTTAAAGGGCCTAGGCCTAATTTAAATAGGCTAGGCCACGCCTACGTCATGTACGTCGTCGTCCGTCATGTCCGTGACGACAATGAATAAACGCCAAAAAGGACCACGCGACTGGACGAAAATTCACACAAATTAGGCCAATATGGGGGAAAAGCATGGAGGAAGACACAGTCATCCGAACTATTATCAGGAAAATATCATCTTTCCTTTACTTTATTCATGCTATAGGCTTAATTTGTACATTTTTTGTACTTACGTCGTTTTCAAGTTCCCCGCCATCTTGCTTCGAAGTCAGCCGGTATTACGTCATTTACCCGGAGGAATCCACCAGAGACCCGCTCGCACCGCGGGGCAGTGGTGGCTGACACCGGGGCAGACACGAGGATCACGTGATGGCTAATCGAACGCTCTCGTGTAAGTTTCACTTACACGTGTAAGCTAATCGAACGCACCCATAAAAAGCCAGCGAACGGCACTTTTTAGACTGGAGACATGCCCTTTTATTATTAAATGCGGGTAGGTGGCGGGTCGTAAACGTTCGTGACGCGCTAAATATGCAATTAAATATGACAATTACAATACAAAACAGGATTCAAATTCATTACATAAACTTTTAACGGGATTTTCACCCCGGCTTTCGCTTACCCGCCCGCTGCGAGTTTCCTTTTCCCAAACCGCAAATCATCTATAGTTGTTGAGCGCCCTCTACGATAATTTATTATACGTTTATGCCAAGAATACGGTCCGAAGAAATTGATTGGACGTGTCGGCTGTAAATCATCAGGTCGACGTCGGCGGGAATCTGAATAATATAACGCCGACCTGCAAAAAAACGAAAGCCGACGTCGGCGGACCGGCTTCTATAAGTCCTAACGGTTAGCCGTTTTCCCACCAACGTCGGCAAAACCACCCGACGTTGGCTGTAGGACTGTGCCGGGACTACGGTCCGACGTAATTGATTGAACGCGTCGGCTATAAATCATCCCGCCGACGTCGGCGGGAATCTGAATAATATGACGTCGGCCAGAAGAACGACAGCCGACGTCGGCTGACCGTTTTTTTTTTGGCATGTCGATGAACTGCATTCCCACCAACGTCGGCAAGACGGTCAGAGCCCAAAGTCCGTTTCAGGGA